CACCACCACCACCACCACCACCACCACCACCACCACCACCACCACCACCACCAGCCCTATCCACGTGACCATTCGGAAGTCGGTATTTTTACTAATCACTCGACTGAATCAGTCAGTTGAGTGGACACGCAAACTTCCTTTCTGGTCATCATCATCTTTGCAGGTGCTCAGGGTAGCGTAGCGTACCGGGCTAGATTAAAAGCAGTGGTTTAAACCAACATGCCGCGGCCTCCGACAAACTTGAATTTGGATAATAATTGTAACAATTTCAGCAATCTTTCAACACTAACCCCATCATGCTTCAATGAAGGCGACAAAAGTAATCAATTGACAAACCAGTCAAGATAAACAAAAGACTTACTTGAACATAGCGACCGCACACCCTTTTGCATTTACTGGTGTTATAGTTGTAATAATTTCGTTCACTAATCCAGCAGCTAGCCACTCGCGTCAGGGTCGGCGTGATACCGGCAGTTTGTGCAAAGTTCTGCCCAAGATACCGATATTCTGGGTATTTAAACCAATCAGGGTGTTTGAATACACATTGATCAATCCACTTCATTGCCAATAGCTCCAACCTCATGGAGTAGTTTTAAAGCGAAACAAAGCTGATTATGCTAATTTGTCGCACGCCACCGTGATGACTGCACTTCGAGAGCTGGATTGAACACAACGTATGTTGAATCAAAATGTTGTGAATGATTAGATACTGACGTCAGGCGTTTTTGTTGTAAGGACTTACAGTACCAAAAATTTATGAGATTAGATTTCAACAACTAACTTAAATTAAACAATTTATGTGCCAAAAGAGAGCAATTTACCAATGAAAGGCTTTAGATAATCTGAAAGCTCAAAAGTTAGCAGAGAGCTGTTGTAGTTCTGATATCCACTACCTGTACGATTGGTTTATTTGTAAATTCGATGCAGGTTGAGTGTCAGAACGTGCGCGTTTGACAAACCAATACCACTGTTACATTTTAGGCCCGGATTAGTTTAAGGCAGTGACAAACACTGCTGGCGTTAGTAGGAAACACTCTAATACACCATATATCTACAAACACGACAAGATTATCAAAGCATCACGAACCATCAGCATCATGTTGCTCGCATTTGGCTTGACATTTTCACGCACTCGCGTATGCAACGCAAGGATATCATCACGCTCTTTCTGCGGCAGAGGTTTGGTTGTATTTGAAATTGGTTTACTGGTGGTCGTTGACGCCCTGGTGGTAGTTGTGTTTATGGGCTTCGCAGTAGTCGTCGTTGCATTCGTTGTTGTAGTGCTGGCATTCGTTGGTGTGCTGGTGGTCGTTGGCGCCTTGGTGGTGGTTGTGTTTATTGGCTTCGCAGTCGTCGTCGTTGCATTCGTTGTTGAAGTGCTGGCATTAGTTGGTGTGCTGGTGGTCGTTGGCGCCTTGGTGGTAGTTGTGTTTATTGGTGTCGAGGTAGTCGTGTTAATCGGTTTCGCAGTAGTCGTCGTTGGTATCAGCACGCACTGATTTCGATCGCACACATATCCTGTGGGGCAAGCACTGCAGCCGTTTCCCTGGTCGTAAGGCATCATTCCTTCTATGTTGCCTCTATGAAGTAGCATTAAAATGGAATGTAATGGCCGCTGTTTATGCTATGATTAGATGCATGTCTCCTGCAACTAGTTATCAGGCATTAAATGAACGCAGATGCAGTATTTCTTACGTAGTTGGTGAGAAAGGGTCAGATAAGTTGTTGTTCCGATTTGGTATGCGATAAATGCCGGCATTAAAATTTATTAAAGACATCCTGGAAGTTAGGCCTGTCCTTAATTAGTGCAAGACAACGTATAAAACACGAGAACATCTCTTTTCAGTATATACACGTTGCAGGCATGCAAGCATTTTACTTAAGTGCATTTGCCTTCAAAAGTGGACCTACACTCGGCTGTAACCAAGAACAGGTGTGTGGATGGACAAAAATTGGACATTTAATCTATGGTCGCTGGCATAATGCAGACGAGATTAAGGTACAACACAATATATCCTTCTCAATTTCTAACACATGGCATTAAACTAAGGCGACGTTGGCATGAACAAGTTGCCTGATTTTGGCGTTTTCTCAAGCAAAATTGGTTTACTCACACAGGTTCGTAATGACATCCCATGAGGTAAATAGGCTTGGGCCAGCCAGGTCTAATATCGTCGCATTGCTTCATTGCACATCCAAGGCCAACTGTCGTCGCCCACACCATCTATAAATCAGCAGAAAACAATAGTGACACGAATAACGAATGATATATCACATCGTAGCATTCGGCATATCCCTGTACGATGTTTAATGAAATCCAATCAGTTATTTACTATATGGTCAGATAAGCGTCAAAAACAGCTATCAGAAACATCACTGCTATTGAGAGATCAGCAACAACAGGCGTAGTTATACTGTAAGCTGTCAGCGTTATTCACAACTGCAACTAGAGTAGAGATCTATATCACGACTATCAGCATGTGGTTTTCGAAATAGCACAGATTCACGCCCTTTATGCGAGGCAGTAGCCATGTGCGGTTGTCTTCTACTTCAGCAAGCCCACAACACCAATGCTGTCACGCGCAAGCGTCTTACTTGAGTGTAGTGACCGCAAACGTTAGAGCAGGACTTGTTGGTATAGTTGTAGTCCCTAAATTCACTGTACCAGCCTTCAGCCATTTGTGTCAGATTCGGCGTGAAACCACCGGCAGTCGCGAGGTTCTGTCCAGTGCCTTTAAATTATGGAAATATTGTACGATTTGGATGCCTGTATTCACAGCGGTTGACCCATTCAATTGCCAGCTGCTCCATCTTTAGAGAGTAGTTCTAAAGCAAGCCAAAGCAGTCGGCCTCTGTGGTGCTGAAGTGTTGTTAGTCACCAAAAAATTAGGATTTGAGAATCGCTTCCTCCCAGAAAACAATGATTGAGGTCATTTCGTAATTGCGAATGGATAAAGCTTATCTTTAAATTTAGCATATCTAATATTATGTATTTTGTATCTACATGCTTGGTAGATTTGACATGTTTTACTGGAAGAAGTTGATCTCTATCAAAGATGCAATTGGGCAAACTAGTAGTTAAATGAATCTAATAATTTATTGGGCAGTGCATAAGTTTAGTAATTTACAAATTTTTCAAGTGCGGTTCTCATAGTACCATGTTTTTCATATCCAAATATTTGAAGGGTTTGAAAGATTTCTCAGCTATAAGCGAAACTCGCACTCCTGTTCGATTAAGCACTTATAGTCTTATGTCCATTTTTGAAATGCTGTTTTTCGAATATTATGTATTTTGTTTCCACATACTTGGCAGAAGTCGATAACTACCAATAACGTTAATGAGTAATTGACATGTCAAACAAAACCGGTAAAATAACAAACAACGATCTATTGGGCAGCACATGAGTGCAGTGATTTGCTAATTTATAACGTGCAGTACTTCTAGTACCACGTTCGTCATATCCAAACATTTGAAAGGTTTAAGAAATATCTCAGCTACAAACGAAACTCGCCCTAATTTCTGATTAAACATGCCTCATATTCATGTCCATTTTTACTGGCCAACACGCGGAACAAAATCATTTGAGTATCACGTACCATCATCATCATATTGGCGGCAGGTGGATTAACTGCTGCACGCGCTTTCGTATGAAATTCGAGTATTGCATCACGATCTGCCTGCGATGTAGCATTGCCCATCACAGTGTGCAAGAAAACAATCAGGCAGACGAGATTCTTCATCTCCTTCAAGAAGTTTTGGTGGAAGCAATGAATACTGTCCTCGATGGTCTTTGATCGCGGTCGTCACCGCAACACTTATTGGCAATATATAGACACTGCAATCCAATGATTGAAGTTCATCCAAATTATGTGCAACTGAGTGCATTTTATGCCACCTTGGTTAGCGCTCATAACCTGTGATTTACAGTTGATGCAGTAATTAAAAAAAAGTCACATAACGCATGTGTGTGTAATTAATATTGTGTAAGTAGAAATTCGGGGTGACTAATTAGCATTTTAGTAAGAAAGAGGATGCGTTCATTTATTCTCTTTTCACAGTCAGTCGATCAAAAGACAGCATGGTAATGATCTCTTGCACGTGTGCTGAAACAACAGAATATGTTCAACGAATTAAAAACACTGTCGAATTGCGAAATGCTGAAGCGGATTAACAACGATCGCACCTGAGTGAATTCTGTTTTACTGATCTGACGGTGACTATGACTCATCATATTTTCATTGGTTACTGATATCAGACACCTGTCACCTGCTCACACATCCACAAACTTAGACAAACAAGGATGGAGTGACGGTAATAAACGGTCGTGTCCTCTGTCGCCAATTATTCTATTCTGCTTGGATGGTTATAGGCTGGTAACTAGAGGGTTGTAAGGTGGTGATAAACTCAAGCTACTACATTTGCTGACTTCGACAAATTGCACCACTTTTAAAATCCCCTGGCCGGTAAATTCCGTCTAATTTTTTTACAACCCTCTTTGTCTATAATGTCTGACCCAACTGCTGAATGTAAAAGAAGCACCTCCGTCAGCTTTCCCCCTTACAGCTCCAATGTTTGAGTGTGATTTATGCAAATAGAAGCTCAATTTCGCATACTGAAGGCTGCTTCTCAGTCTCGCTACTTTGCTACCAAAAGAGGTCTCAACTGAAGTGATTGACTTGATTGATACAATGTCTTCTGACAGTCCTTATGACAGGTTAAAAACTGTTGTTCTTGCTTGGGGAATCAGCTCGAACGAGGCCCGTTCTCGATATCTGCTTTCCGGTTTTGAACGTGGTGACAGGTCTACTTCGCAACTCCTCCGGCATTTGGGCCACCTTGCTTGAAATAACAAGGTCAATGACTTCAATCTTCGCCAGTTATGGGTTAAATTTCCCATAGCGAACACCGATGCCATAATTTAAACCCAGACCTCTGACACACCACTGGAGAAATGCGTTAAGATTGTCGATAACTTCCACGAGTGTTTTCAAGGACTGGGTCATGAGACTGTCTCCTCTGGCCTTCAATAAGTTGGAAGAATGGATGGAAAAAATGTCACTGAAATTCGATAAATTCATTAGAGGTTACCCGAGCTGCTACTACAGACATCAGCACTTCACGTTTTTGCCGATCCAGCCAATTTGGAGAACGATCTGGCCTATGTTAGTACCATCGGCGGTACGGTGACAAGACATACACGTCATTTCAGTGCTGTTGAATTAGAAATTGAGACGTACAGAAAGACATAAGAACCACTAGCAACAAGGACTAAATCAAATTCACACCTCCCTCTTCTCTGATCTGCTCGAATATTTAATGATGCATTTTCGAAGGTTCGTTTTTTTAACTAATGGATCTATTTGTGGATTTTCTGTTAGCCTACCACACTGCTAAACCTGACTCTAATTCTGCTTCGCTGGTGGTCAGAGGCATTTAAGAGTAAGGGACACTTGGACCGTTTCTAGAATGAAATATTGTCGAGTTCCGGTTCTGAGTTTAAAATAACAACTCTACTACTGACAAAATGGCTTCTATGGACGAGATCAGACATTGTTTTTATGGTGTAGTATTTATATTTAGGTGACTGGCAACTATTGTCAAGGTTGCAGTTAATATTTCATCCAAAAGCCGTTTGTCTCATTTTCGCGACTACCGTAGTGGATATCGTCATATTTGTAACGACACGGCAATCGTTGAAGGAGATGTTACAACTCGGGTAGCAGTTGGTATCCGTTGTGGCCGTGAAGTTGAAAGATGAAGTTGCGGTCACGTGTGTGAATTGCTTGGGCAATGAGACCAATGAAGAACAAACATGAGTGGCAGGTAGCAATCAGCTTGCATTTTACCTGTTCAAACACGCTGTTCCACTCACTGCTACCATCATGCAATGTGTCGTTTTGCTTTGCCTGTCTATCATTGTTTTATTGGTCTGCCACATTGATAAGCCTCATGTCGATTTTGTCTCGCTGGTGGCCAGAAGTGGGCGTAGGTGTCCAACGGGGAGATCTTGGGTAAAGTAGACCTGAATTGTGTCCGGATTTCTGTGATCTCGATTTGAAGTGTCATGTCCAAACTACTATCAAAAAAATATTTGGTTTTAGAGAAAGAGGTCAGACACTTGCATTGGGGAAGAGACTGGTTACTGATATTAAACGGGACATCGTGCATTACTGAAGTGTTATTTCGTGGATGATTACAAACTATTGTCTGCGTTAAGGTTATCATTTCGTTTATCGAATGGCTACCTTATTTCGTCGACAATTGTAGTTGCTATAATAGCACCATAAGAGCAAAATTAGGCTTGGAGCGAAGGAAACTACACTGGAGTTTGGTGTGTTAGGCCGTGACTATTTTTTTCGCGAATGTATATCATAAAGGTTTTTTAATGGTGACAAAAAAAGGTCTGCAGAGGTGTGTAGAACTAATACTCGCATTATGATCGACAAATGGAATAGTAAATCACTACGATTAGTGCAGTTTAACGACCTTCCCTGGAGATAGAGTCCAAAAACGAGCATCAAGGTAACATTTCCTCCTCACAAAATGTAGGGCGACAACATCAGCGGAAGAATTAAAGGGAATGTGCATTTGTGCATCACAACCATTAATTATTTATGCACTTTTAAATGCCTTCGCGTTTGCAATAATTCAAAGTCGCACTGTCTGTTATGCATTTCTGACGGCTGGATGTAGGACGACACAACTCGATACAACGCAATTATTATCGCACTCTGTCTGTCCATTATTGTTTTATTGGTCTGCCACACTGGCTGGTGTCGAGTCGATTCTGCTTATTTGATAAGCAGAGCTTAACGCACAGGCCTTCCGTGTATGTGAAAATATTTGTCAAAACTGGGAACTTTCATGCTGATTTTTTGCATTTTTAAACTTAAAATTCGGTGTAAAGCACACCAGGACAGACTCATTTTTGCCAACTCAGTATTGAGTTGGCGAAAATGAATGTCTGTCAAATGGGATTGATTGGAATGATTCGAATAAATAGTGCTGAATTTTGTGGCAACTACGCTCACAAGCTGAATTGCCAACGATACCTGCCTGAACGCTTTCGTTGCTAATGTTTTCCTTTTCACTCATTTAATTAACTGGCTGCTTTCTTCGGCTTTTGAGGGAAAGGAACAATTTAAATTACTATAATTATATTAAATCTGATGAAACTTGCTAATGGATATTGTCTTCTTTAGTTAAGCTGAATGGATATCTAGTTGGCTGTGCATCTACAAATGCAATCAACATCTCAATCGTTTCTCCTCAACAGACAGTCTTGTATCTACTTCACGTAGAGCAGTTATTTCTGCGGTCGATGTCAAGCATTCACGTATAAACTGACCGCCGACCTAGCTGGATTCACCTAACAATCACGTCCTCACTGTCGCAATAAATCGGTTGAGTTCAACGTTACTGACGATTCTATTTTCCCACCTAGTCAGAATTCATCGTAGGTCACCTGTTCCGAGTTTTTCGGAATTAACTAAATCATACGACACGATTGAATTTCAGCATGCCATTCAGCATATGGATTAGCGAAGTTTCTTTCTTGGTATATGTATCCGCAAAATCTCGCGCATGGCAACTAAAAATAGCCCTCTTCACTTGTAGACGTTTTCGTACAGGAATTGGTTGAAACTAGTAACTGGAATTTTCAAGGCAACTTTTAAAACAGGGGCATGAACTCGAGTTTAAGGGGGTCTATACTATGGGCACTGCTGAATCTGCGTACAATGGCAAATTTAACACAATGATAGATATCAATTAAACAAACGGCAAAAAATTACAGTAGGGTTAATCTGAACCTACTAGATTCTACATGAAGTTTCCGGTAGCTGATAACACATGGAATTTCCGTACAGTTAGATGCCTTTTTGCTACTGCACTACCTTGGACGGTAATTGAAATGCTCACTAACGCTCCACCCGTTCTTACTCTCGATTTTACAAATCTCTTTTACAGCCTAATCAGTAGAATTAAAATCACCACGACTATCACTGAGTGTGTTCAGAATTGATTTAATAGTTCAAGAAAACCAAACATGTAAAATAGAGTTCAACTATCATCTGTAACGATAGAAATTGTATTTCTAGCTCACATATTGATGGAACAAGGATAAGTAAATTTGCAAATGAAGTTTCTGAGATAATTTTAAAGAATACACCGTGGGAAGGAAAGATGAGAATAGATTATCCGTCTTGTCTGGTTGATCAATGTCGAGGAAATCGTTGTTGACGTCGTCAAAGAACAGCAGGGATGAGGTTACTTGGAATACAGACATGAGGTTGTTAGGTTTTGGCCAATGATGTAAATATAGTTACTGGAGAGAAAGTAACAGTTTAAATGGCAGTTTTATATAATCTGCTATAATTTTCAGAGTCAGATTTAGTCCAGGTGGATGCAGTGGTTGAATAGTGGTAGTCTTCGGAGTGCTGGCAGTTGTTGATTTGGCAGTTGTCGTTGATGAAGTGGAGGCTGTTGGCGTGTTAGTAGTTGCTTTTGTGGTAGTAGTCGTTGTGGAGATAGTCGTTGGAGTGGTAGTAGTAGTTGTTGAGGTGGTCGTTGGTGTGGTGGTAGTTGGCGTGGTAGTGGTAGTAGTAGTTGGTGTTGTTGTAGTTGTCGTTGAAGAGGTGGTCGTTGGCGTGGTGGCAGTAGTAGTCGG